GAAGCAAGGGGGGGGGGCCCCCGGCCTCCGTAGCGTGGGGAAGCGGTGGGCTCGAGGCGGTTGTTGTTTCCCCTCCTCTCGGGTGCAGCGCGGCACCTTCCTAAGTCACTCCCGCCCCGTCTGCGTCCATGGGCAGATTCGTCTCTCCCGGAGATGGAGGCGAATCTGCCGAAGCGGAAAGAAACGCGCAAGTCGCTGAGGATCAAAGTCATCTCCATGGGCAACGCCGAGGTGGGCAAGGTGAGAAGGGAGCCGGGGCAACGGCACGCGGAGGGGATTGGCCCCGTTGCAAGTGATTGACAAACGGGCTGTGGAATCGGGCGCCTCGCGGCAGGGAGCGCGGCAGCGGATTGGTTGACGAGTTCGACTGACGTGCCCGCGAGCCAATCGAAATCCTCCTACCTTGGTCCTTAGGTCCGTTACCCAGTCAGAGGCCAGCATTGACAGAAATCTTGCTCTAGGGGAGGGCGGGGCTGGTGAGTGGCGGCTTACTGCGGAGAAGGCGGGCTGCTTACCCTGTTCTTTCATTGGCCCAGAAGGCTCAGGCTCTTCTGTGCTCCGCCCCTTTGTGGGCGGGCCGCCCTGATGCCCCTCCCCCTGGCTTAGGTCTTGCCTCCTTGGTTCTAAAGCGGCTGCCACCTGAGCCCCGCCCCTTCCCACAGCCCCAGCCTGGAGACTCTCCCTCGGCTGAGAGCAGTACAGGGCCCATGACCCGCGGTATAGTGGGCCCAGTGCTGGGCTGTGGGCAGGGAGCTGTGCCCGTCCTGGCCCTGCGGGGGCATCCAAGGTGCCATGTCGCCGGTGCCACGCGGGGGAACCCCCAGGAGTCACGAGGCTGGCCCCCAAATCGATGACTTTTAATAAAAGATCCCATGGCTCTCCTTAGGCCAGTCTCTCGATGTGTGACCTGCCCACGCCCAGTCCCCCGCTCTCCCGCCTGTGCTCGATAAGGTGACTTGGGCCCTGCTATGGGACTTTTAAAACATAAGAACGGCTGTACTGGGTCAGACCAAAGGTCCATCTAGCCCAGTAGCCAGCACCAGGTACCCCAGAGAGGGTGGACCGAAGACAATGATCAAGCGATTAGTCTCCTGCCATCCCTCTCCAGCCTCCGACAAACAGAGGCCAGGGACACCAAATCTATCCCCTGGCTAATAGCCTTTTATGGACCTAACCTCCATGAAATTATCTAGCTTCTCTTTAAACTCTGTTATAGTCCTAGCCTTCACAGCCTCCTCTGGCAAGGAGTTCCACAGGTTGACTACACGCTGTGTGAAGAAGAACTTCCTTTTATTAGTTTTAAACCTGCTACCCATTAATTTCATTTGGTGTCCTCTAGTTTTACAAGAATTAATCCTGTTCTCCAGTACCTTGTCAGTTCTGTCCCCACCTAGCCCCCCTCTGTTCAGTCCTCCAGCCTCCTTCATCACAACCCCATCCGTTCAGGCCCTACCCCATCGACCCTACCCCCCATTGCCCTCAGTTCATCCTCCCACACACACCCCATCTGCTCAAAACCTACCGTCGTACAGTGCCATCCTCCTTACTTCAACCCCCAGGCTACAATTCTGCCCTCCTAGTCTCACCTCTGCTCCTCTTAGGGGTTGTCACCCTGCATAGGCCTAAGGAGGCTGCAGTAGGGGTCCCACTGCTACTTAACAGACGGATAGCAGCTGCCCCGGGTGGCTGTGGCTCCCGCTGCCTGTGCCAGTGTGAACTAACAGTAGATACTGTGGTGTAAAGGAGTTGGCTGACAGTGGAAGCCTTGGCTGCCACCGGGCTTTCTAAGTAAAATTAATCCTGAGATGTGATCTGGGGTACAGGTGCTGGAATGGGGATGGAGCAGTGTTCCCTCTAATCTTTTCCAGCCACATGTAGACTAACTCTTTATGTGCACCAAGGCGTGTGGGAATGCGTGCCACCGGTAGAAACAAAAAAGTAGCTGTGGGCACTAGGGATGTTAGAAATCAGTTATTTTAATAGCCATTTAACTGCTAAAATTCTTAGCAGTTCATGGTTACTCAGTGCTCCTGTGGGGCAGAATCAGCAGCTAGAGTGCTCTGGGCTCCCAGCCCCACTCCCAGGGAGCCCCTTGCTACCCCATGCTGCTGCCTCTAATATAGGTTGCTCTGGCATCCCATGGAGCAGCCCCTCTCTGCAGCATGCCCGATACCATAGCAGTCTCTCTCTGTGGGGAACTCAGCCCCCCTCCCCTCCATGGACAGGGGGGCAGGCGGGATCTGATTTTTAAACCGGCTCCCTGCATGGACCAGTTCCCGCCTTAACTCTGTGCTGCTGCCTGTAGTGGCAGGCAGCATCCCTGCATGCTCCTTATTTAAAACTTGGACTAGTGGACTGGGATTGAGCCAGCCTGCTCCTCCGAGTTTCAAATGCAAAGCATGTGGGGTTCTCGAGGTTAACTGGGACCGTTAACCGATAAGCAGGTTACTCGTGTAACCATTAGGATCCCCAGTGGCTATTCTGCTAATCTCCTGAGCGGCTGCATAAGTACACAGTTTGCAGGGAACACTGGTTAGGAGGCCATGGCCCACCCACTTTTGAAAGTGGACAGTGTTGACCCATCTACTTTTCACCCAGCCCTCTGCCCCTCCTCTACCCTGAGGTCCTGCCCTTCCAGCCAGGCCAGCAAGGAGTTTAGACAAGTGTGGGGAGCCATTGACCCTCCACATGTACAGACCCTCCACTGGGGGAGGTGGAGGGTCCATGGCTCCCCACAGCTGCCCAGACTGCTGGTAACTGTTTGGCCTCTGAGACCCAGCTGGAAGCTGGCGCAGGGTCAGGGTAGAGCCATAAAGGCACCTGTGCAGAGCTGTGGATCCCTTAACCTGCCTGGGACAGGGGCCCTGGGCGTGAGGATATGGACTGGGGGCTGTTCTTGAGCCCTCCTTCCCTCCACCTCCCCCCGCGGGTGGAGGGGCCTTGACTACCCAGCTCTGGCTTCTGGCTTGGCTGGGTACACGGCCTGCGGGAAAGAGGAGGGACAGGAGCAGAGTCATGGAGGAGCAGGGCCTAGCCAACCCCCTCCACACACACCACCACCATCACTTTTAGGAAGAATCTGTCACTCCTGATTTGGGGATAGAAGTCTCAAATGTCAGGATTTTTTCCAGACACATTTGGGTCTATTGTACCCAACCTACAGTAAGTCCCAAACAACATGACTTGCCTTATGTTAGCATTTCTAATGTTGAAAGCCCTCAGGGTGCAGCGTAAGAGGCAGAGCAGAGATAAAGTTCTCCAGGACTCCATGAATTCAATTAAAGGTCTGGGCAGGGTCTGCAGTCCCCTGTAAGGCACACCAAACAATCTGCATGCCCCATCATATTACTGTAACACCCAAGCAACTGTGTGTTTTTGCTGCAATTCTTCTTCCATTTCCCTTATGTGTGGTACCTCCCACCCCCAGCATCCTATCTTGTGATAATCAAGTCAGACTGTCGACTCTTTCTGTCTCAGGGTTTTGCACTGCTGCCTTCACCTTAGCATCTGAGCACCTTCCATGGAAAATGGATTGGCAATAGCAACACCCCTAATGGGTTCACAAAGTCTCTGGCTCTTCTCCCTTCTTGAAATATAAAAATTCTGCTCACGTGATTTATTCTGGCTGGTTCATTTACTATGGGTCCCCCTCGCTCTTCCAGGACTGTTACAATGTCTTCACTTGCGCAAGGAGCCATGGATGCCTATGGTGCTGTATACACATAATGTGGTGAATAATAATGTGAAACAACGTTCTCTGCGATATAGTGCGGACATGTTCATACATGCGTCTGTTTTTTGGTTTTTTTTAGAGCTGTATCATAAAGCGGTACTGTGAAAAGAGGTTTGTTCCCAAATACCTGGCGACGATAGGAATCGACTATGGCGTCACCAAGTAAGTACCCTTTTCTAGCTACTCTTACAGGCGGACAACAATTGCAAGTGAAAAGCCGTGTACCATGGTGACTGTATACATGTGCTAGGGCTCGCCAATCAGTGCTGCATTTGACACTGTAAATGTAATATAAACTTGAGCATTGGAGGGATCCTGGGGAAGAAGTCAGGGCAAAATGACAGTCTTTTACATTGCTATGTAAACTGTAATGCTGCTATCTGTCTACAACCGTCAGTGTGTATCACAAAACATACAGCATGTTCAATGTGGTCATAAATACCTTATCTTCATTTGTTGACTATTACATTATTTTTAAATAGTAATGTTCCTGGGATTTGGAGGCTTGAATTATATTGATTACGTATGCTCATCTTAAGGTTGAGTGGTTATTTCTTGTCCGTTCTTTGCTCCTTTACTGGTCTGTACAAAAATCAAGTGGAGAGGTTTTCCTATCCAGCTAAAGATAATGGAAGGAGAGCTAGGTCTGGTTGGCTTTTGTCCCCTTTTGTTGACTGGCTACCATGCATGACAGTTATTTGCTCTCACAAGACCCCTTATTGTATTTTTTTTTATTAAGCTAAACTAGGGAAGTAAAAAGGCCTTGGTCTTGCTAATTTGGTGACATTTGTCTCTTTCTCTCCGAAGAACTGGCACTGTGAAATGGGAATTCTGGGACTCTCACTGGGAAGGAATTAACTCTTTCACTGGTTCACACTCTATGAGCTTCATACCCCTTCTGAATGTTTCTCGTCTACCATTTCAGAGTCCAAATTAGAGATCGAGAGATAAAAGTGAACATCTTTGACATGGCTGGGCACTCCTTCTTTTATGAGGTAAGGGAGAAACAGTTTCTTCTCCGTTCTGTCTCAGTGTGATTCTAGATTCCTTCTGATCATATAGCTAGAGCAGCAGGGCCGCAATCGGTAGGTAAGTGATAAGAGGCAGGTAGCATAGGAAGCATAGACCAGCAGTTCTTATCCTGGCAGAGAGTGACTGCTTCGGGCATTATAATTTTATTTCCTGTGGCCCATGTTAAAGGCTGTGCAGTGCAAGTGAATTTACTATGAATGAGCTTCTATGGGCAGATTGATAAATGTTGCTGCTTAAGTACATTTCCAGATTGCCTGTAGAATGTGGATAACACCAACATAAATCCACAACACTGCTCTCTATCACCTGCCCAATCTATATTGTAGGGATGTAAAATCCTGTTTAATTAGTTAACTTGTTAAATATTAGGTATAACCTGTTAACTGTTTAAGCATTGGCAGGCAGGGGGGCTGCTCCTGCCAGGCTGGGCTGGAATAGACTAGTGGACTGGGACTGAGCCAGCCTGCTGGTCCGAGTTTTAAATGCAGAGCATGTGGCGGCTGGGGAGGGGGGGTCGTCCCCCACGGACTGAAACTGTTCTGGGTGAGCTGGAGCATCCCCGACCCATGGTGGGCTCCACAGGGCTGGAGCAGCCTCCATCCCGTGGTGGGCAGCGAACTGCTCCAGCCCTTTGCCAGTTAACCATAACTTGTAAGCATTGCCCAGAATGGCTGATGCTTGGAGGTTAACTATTCACATCCCTAATCTGCAGTGGTGTAATTGAGACAACAGGGTGTAATGAATGGAGCACAGGACCGGAAACTCCTGAATTTCTACTGTGTTAGAACCCCGACTCACTGTGACCTTGGTCAAATTAGGGCCTCGTTTTCGAGAGACGGAGCTCCTGTAGCTTACACGGACTGTAGCTGAGATTGTGGGTGCTCTGTACTTATGAAAATGGGGTCCTAGACCTGTTGTGCCTGGGGGGGAATCCAAAATAAGCGGATTCCCAAACGTGCTGATCTAAGTGACTTGCCTGAGGCTACAAAAGAGAATCCGTGACCAAGCTGCCTACGTCCTAGAAATCCGTGGTGGCTCCTGGCACTGTGCTCATGGAGCAGGCCTCGTTCCTTCCCTGACACAAATAACATTACTGGTGTTATTTCTTACTCCCACAAATCCATAAATGTCACAGTGCCTTACGGTACCCCAGGGTTGCAGTGGGGCCAGGTAGTGAGCTGGAATATGAGCCCAGAGTAAAAATGGTTAAAGAAATAACCGTTTGAACAGCCCTAAGTTTAACGTGTGTAGCTCAGTATCTAGGGTGTGTTATGCATCCTCCCTCATGCCTGATTCACAGAGGATGCAAGTCCTACAAAGCTTGGTTCTCTAGCTCTGAAGGGCCCAGGTCCTGTCAGTCAAGATGGTGTCCATCACACGCCTCCTCACTCTTTTTCGTCCTGGGCAGGTGCGCAATGAGTTTTACAAGGACACTCAGGGTGTTGTTCTAGTGTACGATGTTGGACAGAAGGAGTCGTTTGATGCACTGGACACTTGGCTGGCTGAGATGAAGCAGGAGCTTGGACCGCACGGAAACATGGAAAACATTGTCTTTGTTGTCTGCGCCAACAAGGTAACCCCTCTTCGTTGTCTGCGCCAAGAGGATAAGAGGCAGGAATTCCTGACTGCAGCATGTTGAGCAGCAGCTGCTCTGAGCCCCCAGAAATGAGTTTAATGTATTGGAACACACTAAGAGGCTGAATCTTGGAGGTTCACGCTAGTAGCCATGATGTTTTGCCATAGTCACAGTGTTGTTGCCCAGCGCCCTGGTCTTGGGTTTTGCATGCAGATTCTCTTCACAATTTCAGAATCATCATCTATTTCAATTCTCTTTCCTCCCCCTCACAAAAAACAAGGCTTCTTCACACGGCTGTGCTGGGAAGTCCCTCACTGATGTGATGGCAAGATGCTAGAACAACTTTCAGTGCGTTTGGAGTCCAGGGAGCTACAGCCCTCTAGGTAGCCTAGCTGTGTCCGCTGCATTGGATATATAGGCATGTCTTGGCACCTGAGTCCTTTTCTCTACTTTGTTTGGCTCAGATTGACTGCACCAAGCACCGGTGTGTGGATGAGAGCGAAGGGCGACTGTGGGCGGAAAGTCGGGGCTTTCTTTACTTTGAGACTTCAGCGCAGACAGGAGAAGGAATCAATGAGATGTTCCAGGTAACTTAAAACGGCAGTGAAAAGGATGCAGGCCCCATACGTAACTTGCTTTGTCAATAGAATGTTCATTAATTACTTTGATCAATAGAATCTATTGATTAGTCATAATAAGGGCTGCAACATGGTAAAATTCCAGCTTTGAGCCCAATAGTCCAAGTGAGAGGTTGGCTTGGTGGTATGTCAAGGACTCCAGGTGCATAATTCCATAGCTGACAGACAAGATGGGCTTTTCTGCGAGATATAGCATAGTATGGCCAAGGTACTAGAGATAGGAGTGTCTTCTCTGTTCTGACAGGCACCAGACTGCTTCTGTTTGTGTTGCTTGTGGAGGAGCTATCGATATATCAAGTTGTGCAGCTCATGTCTGTGCTCTCAGAGCTTTGAGGGGATGAGCCAAGAATCAGCAAGCCCTTGTCACAACCAGCGTATCAACATACACCCAATGGCCTTATTGCTCAGCTAAATAAACTAGATCTGCTGGCTTTCTTTCGGACAAGGGGGAAGCTTTCCGCTAACTCCTCTTTCATTTGCAGACCTTCTATTCCGCAATTGTTGAGCTGTGCGATAATGGTGGGAAACGCCCCACGTCTAGCATGAGTGCTGGGTTTACCAAAGAGCAGGCAGATACCATTCGGAGGATCCGCAGCAGCAAGGACAGCTGGGACATGTTGGGAGTCAAACCTGGAGCCACGAGGTAAAGGATGCTACCGTGTTCTCCGTGGTGTCTTTATGACTCAAATAGCAGTTAATCAGATTTCTTTAAGGCCAGAAGGTACTTAGCTGACCTGTACAACACAGGCCAAAACATCTCATACAGTCATTTCTGCATCAAACTTGTAATTTCTGTTTGACCAGACCTTTAGATACAGGGGTGGAGAACCTTTCTTGGGTCGGGGTGCCACTGATGCACAGAAAAATCAGTTGGGGGCCCCATACAAGTGAGAAGCAAAAAAACCAAAACAAAACCCCAAAAACAAACAAAAAAAACACACAAACCCAAACCTTCATCTGGGAAGAAAAGACACTCTTCATATTCCCTTTGCACATGAGAGCCTAGGGGGGCCCAGGCTAGTAGATTTTGTGTGCTCCAGCCCTGTGGTGTGGCGGTGAAGGGAGCTGGAGCATCAGCATGGGCTCCCCAAGGTTGGGGGGAGCCCTGAGCCTCTGGGGCTGGATCCAGGCAAGTTGGGGGCCACATTCAGCCTCTGCCTGAAGTTCCCCATCCCCTGCTTGAGAAGGACACTCAGTCTTTATTTAAAAGACTTTAGGTGATGGAGAATCCGCCACCATCCATGGGAATTTGTTTAGTGTGAACTTTCAAATATTGGATCTAATACTTAATCTTTTTCTGCTAGATTAAAGAGTCATCTACTATCAGAAATCTCTTCCCCATGTAGGTACTTAAAGACTACCATGATCAAGTAGCCTTAAATTTCTCTGGGATAAACTTGATTTTTCGGAAGTCTTTTGCTATAAGCCAGGTTTTCCAGATGCACGCTTGTAGCGCTCCTCTCAACCCCTTTCCATTTTTCATCATCCTCTCTTGATATGCAGACACTAGAACAAGACACAGTATTCCAACACTGGTCTCACTAACAACGTGATCAGAGGTATTAACCACCTCCTTTTCCTGCACATCATCGATAAAAGTATTGACTAGTTTTGGGCCAAAAACAGATTATTGTGGGACCCCATTCTCAGCATTTCCCTAAAATGATTAATACATTTAATATGAGCTACACTGATTTGGGGGGAGGAAGAGGATAATGCTGTTTTTTTTTATCTCAATATTATGTGGGACTAGATCAGATGCCTTACAGAATCCAGAGAGTGTCATGTCAACAGTAACCAGGACAAACAAACTTGTTGTCTCATAAAAATGAGAACAAGTTTATGACAACCTATTTTCCATAAAATCATGTTGATTTGCAATTAATGATGCTACTGTCCTTTAATTAACAAGGAACCCAGTAGGAGTTTCCAGCTAGAGAGGGAAAGTGGTTTGATTGGGAATAGAAGCTGCTTGAACACCTCTATAGTACCTCTTATTTCTTCTGTGACCTTGAGCAAACCGCTTAATCGCTCTCTGCCTCCACTTTCATGTCTATAAAACAGGGATCATAATACTTGCTTCACTAACATTTGTAAAAATGAATAGTCCTGTGGCACCTTGGAGACTAATGAAAATAGTATCATGAACTTTTGTGGACAAAACCCACTTTTTCAGATGAACTGGGGTGGAAAAAGATAAATACTGTGTTTATTTTTTCCACTCCAGCTGATATGATGAAGTGGGTTTTGCCCATGAAAAGCTCCTAGTACTACAGGCAGTCCCCGGGTTACGTACAAGATAGGGACTGTAGGTTTGTTCTTAAGTTGAATCTGTATGTAAGTCGGAACTGGCGTCCAGATTCAGCCGTTTTTCAGATGAACTGGGGTGGAAAAAGATAAATACTGTGTTTATTTTTTCCACTCCAGCTGATATGATGAAGTGGGTTTTGCCCATGAAAAGCTCCTAGTACTACAGGCAGTCCCCGGGTTACGTACAAGATAGGGACTGTAGGTTTGTTCTTAAGTTGAATCTGTATGTAAGTCGGAACTGGCGTCCAGATTCAGCCGCTGCTGAAACTGATCAGTTTCAACAGCGG